GCAAAGCCTTGGGGAAGCTGGCAGCGGAGCAGTCCAGGCGCGCCTGGGCTGCCTCGCTGCCCGGGCCCCCCCCGCGGCTTTGCAAAGTCGGATCCGCGTAAGTCGGGGACTGCCTGTATCTCATTGCTAGACTACTTGGTCCACTTGTCACTGACCTTTAAAGATTCTATGGCTGCATGCTAGCTTAGATATCAGTACTTGAAAGACTTCACATGGCATTGCTATCTTGTCTGCACAACAACTGAGGCAGGTGCATTCGGGACATCTTAAAGTGCACACACATACAATGGGCCTCAAGGAATAGGCTCTCCCTTTACATAACATAGATGTCACTAACACAGACCTCTAAGCAAGTACAGTGAAAGCTTTGTTATCCAGCACATGTGGAGAATGCGGGTTGCCAGTGTGAATATGCCGGATAACAAAATGTATCACCCTGCCCCACTGACACATCTAGCTCCTGACAGCTTGAGGCAGGCTGAGAGGGAAGGAGGCACCTGCTGATGATGTCAGTTGGCAACGCAGGTTGTCAGAAGCCCTGCAACGGCTGGCTGGACAGGCAGGAGTCAGGTGCACGTGCCTGAAGTGGTATTGTTGCTGGGGGCAGTTAAAGTTTTCCAGTTAGCATAGTGCCAGATAACACATTTTTCATTGTAATTCAATTGTAAATTATGTATTAGAGTAACCAGTATTACTTGTCAATAGAAAGTTTAGTGTTTATATATGATTAAAAAAAACTAAGGAAATTTTCAGAAAAGAACTTTAAGGCTGTTTTGTAGTGATACCACAAGGGGGAAAATATGTAAAAGAAAACAAATTAAGGTTTCAACAGAAGCTAATTTAATCTCGTCTGGGACATCAGACATTCAAATACCATCATAACTATATGATTATTGCATGATGTCATTACAGGGCCGAGTAAAGGTTGGTTGGGTGCCTACATTGCATTTTTGTATCGTAACATGTTTGGGTTTCTCTGAATTTCAAGAGTTTATAATGCTTGTTTTTGTGATTATTACAGGTCTTCTAATTTTTTTTCTTCTCTTAAGTTACCAATGCATGTTCCCAGCCTTTACTGCATCTTAACGTACTTTTTGTCTGCGAATTTATACTGGTTTGACATTTAATTAAGGCTTATAGCCCTTGTTCCAAGCAGTTAAATTCGCCCCCAAAATGACAACAGACTCCCTACATTGGGAACTGGGAAAGTGACAACGGTGAACTGTGGAGTGGAAATGTGGGGGCTATGAGAGTGATTGCATCTAGCAACATATCAACTCATTCCTTTAAGATATTTAATTTAGATAACATTAGAGAGTATAGTTTAAAACTCCATCCAACCCTAGGGCAACATAGGATTTCTGCTTTTAAATGGCCTACAAAAATCTACATTAAATTAACTTTGATTTCTGTTACTATAAATAAATGAATTGATTGTCGAATACATCTATTTGACACTAGTGTCTTCTGTTAAGTTCTTACGGGTCGTAAACAGACTGACTGGTCTGTCAGTGTCACAAAATAAAGTATAATTCAAGGCAGAGTGGCCTGTTAACTGCTCTGCAGTTATAGGACAAAAAGAGGGGAGTACATGTTGTTGACATATCTCCACTGCTACAGTGACCAATACCTACCACCTCACCTTGGAACCCATACCTGGTATCTTCAGACAATTACAACCCATACTCAATGGGGGACCTCCATCCTAAAAGCTATATTTCCAGAACTTCCACTCCTGGCCTTCAAACAACTTCCCAACCTTTCTGAGATCATCATAAAAAATAAGCTCCCCCTACACTAGGACACACCAACTTAAAATCAATAAGAAGTCCGGTGGCATCTTAAAGATTAACAGATTTATTTGGGCAGAGTGTTTTTGCCCATAAAAGCTTATGCCCAAATAAATCTGTTTGTCTTTAAAGTGCCACAGGATTTCTCATTGTTTTTGCAAATATCAGCTCAAAGTGGCACCAGAGCCTGCCAGAATTACAGCTGCAAAACCTAGACACATATCTCTACTACTACAGTGATCAACTTTCCACACAACACATCTTTCAAGATATAGGGATCCTACATATGCCTATTACAACATACGATATACCTCATCCAGTGAATGAACTATGTGACTCAAAACATACAAACATTATGCTCTCAAACTCACACAGGAAAATGATAAAATACAAAAATGCCTTATCACCTCTGGTTGAACACTTCAGTGATCGCTCTATTTCTGACCTCTCAATTCTCATCCTCAAAGGACACCTGGCCCTTTTAAATTTCTGGGAAAGGCAACTACCCTAGAGCCCAAGCAAAATACAGGACTATGTAGCACTTTAAAGACTAACAAGATGGTCTTTAAAGTGCTACATAGTCCTGTATTTTGCTTGGGCTCTAGGGTAGTTGCCTTTTTTTGCTCCCACCATCTCATCTCCCCCCTCCCTACTATGTCAGTAATAGACCTAAAAGCATCAATGTCAGCTAAGTACAAATCCCAACAGGTGGTTACTTTCTTAGTAGTATACGGTACTAGTCCACTTTCACCTGTGGTATTAATGGCTAATCTGCAGGTCCAGAGTTGGCATGCTACACCGTAAATGTGGTCAGCAGGATCCTGTTTGAGATTTTTGTGAAGCTCTGTTAGGCTGTGTCTACATTGGCATGATCTTGCACAAATACTCTTTAACGCAAGAGTTCTTGCGTTAAAAGCATTTGTGCAAGAGAGCGTCTACACTGGCATGTGCCTTTGCGCAAGAGATGTGCTTTTGCGCAAAAGCATCCATGCCAGCGTAGACGCTCTCTTGTTCAAGAAAGCTCTGATGGCCATTTTAACCATAGGGCTTTCTTGCGCAAGAAATTCATGTTGCCTGTCTACACGGGCCTCTTGCGCAAGAACAGTTGCACAAGAGGGCTTATTCCTGAGCAAGAGCATCATAGTTCTTGCACAAGAAGCACTGATTTCACAGATTAGAACGTCAGTGTTCTAGCACAAGAACTCCCCACCAGTGTAGACAGGCAGCATGTATTTGTGCAAAAGTGTGTGCTTTGGTGCAAGATCATGCCTCTGTAGACACAGCCTTAGGGTTTGGAGGAACCATATGGGTTAAATGCAAAATGACCTATGAGCACGAAGCTGGCCTAGGAAACAGGCAGGCGTACAGTGCCGTCCCCGCCCCAGGCAAGGTTCCATTTACTCCCGTCAAGTCCCGCCCACCTCTGAGCGTAGTTGCTGCCACAGAGATTTGTACCTCCTCTCTTGCCGTCTGCCGGGAGGCTTCAGCCAATCCGGGAGAGCTTGGGCGGAAGAGGCGGGGTG